AAAAAAAAAAAAAATAAATAAAAATTGGGAACCTGGGTAAGATCTCCCCGCGTCGACGGCTTCTTGCTTTTATCATGAATGCAGGCACAAAGCTGAAATACCTATATGAGTTGTATATATATATATATAATGTATATATATATAATGTATATATATATATGTATACACATAGTTCATTGAATGCTATTCCTATTTGTGTTTAGATATCTGCTTGAGCTATGCCTCACAAGTAGTTCTACTGTTATTATCAACGCTTGTGGTGTCGTTGTTCTTGGTACCAGAAAACACAAGCTATGATACCGCTGACGTTGGTTTTTTCGATGCTTCTTAAAATGCTTCATTACGTTGTTGTTGGCCGTTCTGTCGGCTTAGGGTAAAGCCTTGTATTGGCTTTCCACCTGTGAGTTCGAGCAACCTCACCACTCACCACTCGACCACACTCAGCCCCAAATCCACAAAACAAAAAACAAACACCTAAACCCTGAGCCCTGAACCGTGGGGTTGCAACCTGGCAACCTGGCAGCCTAAATCGCACTTGAGACAGGAAGACCTAAAGGGCCCTAAGTACCTATATTGTATAGAGTTTAGGGTTTCCATCATAGGAGCCAGTGTTATGATTTGGGAAGGTATCCCCCCGAACGGTACCTAGGACCCTTTGGGAGGAGCTCCAAGAAAAAACTAGCGTACAAAACCTCAAACACTGTCCAAAGCATGAAGCTAAACTGAACCCTAAGCCTAATAGGACCCCAGCTATGCATACACTCTGAAAGGATAACCGAAACCACATCAGACCCCAATTAAGACATACAGAGGTGCCATGAAGGTCGGCCAATAGGTGGCCAAAGATCCAGCCCCCAGGCCAGAAAGTGGAGAACTCCTCTAGCACTCAAAAATTACGGCTTTAAGAGGGGCTCCGGGCGCGCAGGGTTCTGTCCATTTAAGGGTTTAGGGTTTAGGCCATAATTTGGGGTTTGGAGATAAGGTTTCGGGCTTGGGATGTACTGTTTGGACTTTAGGGCTTGCGGTTGAGGGTTTAGAGCCCGAGTCCCCCCAAACCACCCACCAGTTCCGTAGACTCGCATAACTGAACTCTTACTCTTGAATGAAAGGTCGTGAGCCCTGTGCACCCTAAACCCTAAACCCTAAGCCGTAAACCCTAACCCCCTAAACCCTAAACCGGATGTACCGGGCATCGGATTCCAGCCAAGCGGACCTTCTGAGAATCGGATACCAACGCTACCACCAACCCCACAACCACAGTTTAGGGTTTAGGGTTTAGGATTTACGGGTTCAGTGGGTTAGGGGCTTATAGGGTTTAGGGGTATTCTTTTAATCTTGGGTCTTATAAGCATCGGCTACACGCCAAGGCATCCCTCAGAAACATCTAGGAAGCACTCTCCGGTCCTCCGTCTGCAAGACATCGTAGCCCGACCTCAGCCGAAGGCGACCAGCTTTCGGAACATCGAAGTGGACCAGGGCCGATGGTTCGGCAAAGCCAGTGAAGGGGAGGCCTCGAAGCCGTGGGCCATACTCAAAGACGCAGCAGTTCTCCTTAGACTTCTCGGTTCAAAAGCCCCCCCCCCAAGCAGGTTTCACTTAAAAGTTCAGGCACAGTTATGTTGATACCCCGAAAGAAGACAATTTTCACTCAAGGCCGACCAAGTCTCGAAGGTGATGCCAAACTCTTTGTCCCAGCAAGCAGGCTCCATGAAGGACTTGTACCAGGGGCTGCCCTGAGTCTCTTTTGTACAAACTCCTGGTGCCCTCTTCCCCCCACGTCAAGCTTCGTCATCGAGGCGGGACAAACGGAAAGAACAAAAACAACAACAACTCCAAAACCCCCAATGGCAAGCAAGCCATGAGACGCCCCTAAATCCAAAGTCACCAAAACCCCTAGGCCCTAAACCCTAAAAATAAACAAAAAAAAAAAGCAAAAAAAGAGCCCCTTGCAGCGGAGCATCTGGGTCGCGGCAACACTTGCCATAGCCCACGGGGTACCTGGGATCCGAACCCTCGGGCTGGCCCCGGGAACTTCCGGCGGTCTAAACCCATAGGCCCCTAAGTAGTTCCGTTTTTTGGGTTTATATTTAGAATCCTACAAGGCAATCCCAAAAAGGAACTACCTAGGGGCCTGTGGGTAAACCCTAAACCGCTTAGACCTTGAAAAAGGAGGGGGGGGGGTTATGCATCTGGTTACAAGAGAATGAATGAGTAACACATAGGGTCTATAGCTTAGGCACCCTTATATTATATTGTTGAAACTCCTGCCTGACGTCGAAGCAACTGTTGAGGCTCTTAGAGGATTGCAGCTCTCAAGACTTGGAAGATATGCAAGGCCTTGATTCTGCCGCCTGGGTTTAGGGCTTAGAGGTTTAGGGTTTGGGAGCTTTGGGTTTAATGTGCTGCGTTGCAGGCATTCAATAAACAAAGACAGAACAAATGTGAAACAGCTCTGTCTTCGGCTCCGGAACGACGAAACTTTATGGACATCCGACAACTTTTGACCTCACACCCATACCATAAGGGTCCAAAGGACCCAAAAATAAGGTACTTTGCTTGCGGATACTAGATATCTAAGTTCATATCTGGGAGAGTATATTTGGTACTTGGACGTTTAGGGATATTGCATGAAGACTTTGGATATTTATTGACGTTCATCTTCTGCGATGCGTTCATTCCTCCAAACTTCATACATGCATATACATACATACATACATACATACATACATACATACATACATACATACATACACACACACACGCACACAGTCAGGACATCTTGAACCATTAGGGAGGTATAGTTCGCCATATAGATAAATATGAAGATAAGGCTAAACATAAAACTCGATACAAACATGTATATATAGATACAGGTAGAGACCATAGCTATGGATGTAGATATCAAAAAAAGACATAGCTAAGTAGATATAGACGTAAATATACGTAGATGTATAGACATAGATATAGATGTAGATGTAGATGTAGATGTAGAAGGTATAGTTATAGACTAGTTACAGATGCATATCAAGACATCGGAGTAGAAATACAAATAGATACAGATGCAAGTATCTTTTACACACAGACACAAGCCAATACGACAACACATGTATTCATACATGGAAACCAAGAACAATACATGCCCTCCACCCCACACCTCAAAACACAAACGACAAAACACTACGCCTACCCCAGCAAGGGCCCGGGGACGTGTCTGGGAAGCAGTACTGCAGCCTCAGCATGGTCTCCCGCAGGTGAGGCTTGGATGTTTCAGAGAGGTCCTGAGTTTCTCTTCGGAAAAAGCAACACCTTTTTCTGCAGTCACCTTTCGTCGACAGCTTTAGGGAAGTCACAAAGCACAACAAGAGGCCATCCCTAAATGAGCCCAAAACCTAGAAAGGAGGGCTGAAAGAACCCTAAAACGAACACCCCCTTTTTAAAAACCAAGCACAACAGTGCCCAAAGATCCTAAACCCGTAATGAACCCTGAACCCTAAACCCTACAACCCTAAATCCAAAAACCCAAAAAGCCTATAAACCCTGAAAGCCTAGAAGCCCTAAACCCCATAATCCAAAAACCTATACACCCTAAACCCTAAGCCCTAGAAGCCTATAAACCCTACGCCTAAACCCCATAAGCCCTACATTGTGCCAAAGATCCGGGAGAGCCGAGGCCGCCAGGACGGATCTCACGAGAAATCCGAGCGTCGAAGCTCCGAGGACCGGTCGAAGCATTGCGGATCCAGGGGGGGATTCGGGCTTCTAGGGCTTCTAGGGCTTATAGGGTTTAGGGCTTATAGGGATTAGGGCTTGTGGGGCTTATATGGCTTATAGGGTTTAGGGCTTAGGGTCTTAGGGTTTAGGGTTTAGTAAATTTCAGGGCTTAAGGCTTAAGGCTTGGGATTTAGGGCTTCGGGCTTGTAGAGCTAAGAGCTTGTAGGGTTTAGGGCTTAGGCGGTTTCTGGTTTAGGGCTTCTCAACGGGTCCGAAGTACATTTATAGGGGATGATTGCTGCTATATATTAGGACCTACCTTCACTATGTCTATGTAAGTACTTAGGCCCCATTGGGGACGAAATCCAGTTGCCTTCACCGTCCCCCTTGAAAGCTCTACATACTTATGGTGAGCCAGATTGATCAAATGTCGCTTTACACCCGCTTGGGTTGAAGCATTGGGCCCTAAACCATAAGTTCAAAACCCTAGACCCTATAAACCCAAAGCCCTACAGGCCTATGCGATTCTTCACACCCTTCTCATGGACCAGGCTTCCAGGATTGAATCCCTAAGCAAAGCCCCATTTCCTAAACCCAAACCCTCCCCATACAGGGGCGTAGATAATTAGCAAACGGACTAATGGGCTCCTTTTTGGGTGCCTTTAAAGGGTCCATGAGGGATGCTATAAGTTGCTTTTGAATATAGGGCCGCTCACAAGTAGAATAGGGTCATGTGGTATATTCCAGCATAGAAATCATGAACAACCCCAGCAGCACAGCAATGTTTCGTTATTCAGGTGCAAATACCTAAGCCCTAAACACTAAACTGCGGAAAATCTGAATTCAAGGCGTGCTGGCAAGCTTGGAGCCGCGGCAAGTGCGGCACACACTCGCTGGCAAATCAATGCCTAAGTCCAAAGGACCCAATAATTAGGTACTTAGGTTTCGGATAGTAGCTATGTAAGTCGCCATTTGGGAGAGCATGTGATTTTTTGTGATTTTTAAGTACTTGGACCCTTGGGGAATCACACATTCTACATGACGCTATTGTACTGCACTGGGGGTTGACGTAAACTGTATTGCCACAATCATGTAAAATCCTGCTCTAGAAAACACGAAAATCACAGAAGGGGATAGTCGGGTATACAAGTCCATTGCTTGAGGTTTAAAAGGAAGAACCCATGCCCAGGCAAAGATGTGCTGCAGATTGCGGCAGCTGTTAGGGTTTGGCAGTTGTTTAGGGAGACCCCGAATGAAAGACAAAAGCTTGTGAATTCGATTTAGGGTGTAGGGTTTAGAGTATAGGTTCAATGCTGAGGATTCCAATTCAGGATGAACTTTGAAGTCTTGGATTTGGGTTCAGCAGTGGCCTTCCGCGTTCTTGCTAAGGAGTTCACAGAAAATAAAAAATATAGATGGTTAAAAATGGGGACCTAAGGAAGAAGATGTGATTTCCTTTCTATGCTAGATAATTAGAATGAATTCCTCCACAAGGGCCCCAGCTCCTCTAGGCATATTTCTGTCTAGGGACGATTAGTTTTGTGCAACACCCTGCAGGTCCCGTTCCTCCTTACATGTACTTGGGGTTTAGGGTGTAGGCCGCAAGTACGGGTTCCTATATGAGTGCTTCAAGGCCAATGTATATATGCATATATATGTGCATATATATATATATATGTATACACACACACCATTCGGCACATACTGGGTCAGCACATAAACCCCTCGGGTAACTAACATCCTATAAACCTCAACCATGGCCCTGTATGCTTTGTTTAACCGGTTTTGTAATCAAGATCCCATTAAGCTCACCCAAAACATGAACTACCATGGAGACTCTTAGGAAACCCTAAACCCTAACCCGAACCCCTGGTCCTGCGCGACCCAGCTGCCATGCGCCTCGAACACAATGGTCAGACCTGATCACTCCGGGCTGTTTTGGTATTTAGGGTTTAAGGTTGAAGGTTTCGGGTTTAGGATTAATTAAGGCTTAACTTTGGGTTTTGGTATTTAGGTTTAAGGTTGAAGGTTTCGGGTTTAGGGTTAATTAAGGCATAATAAGCGGGCTGTTTCGGCGTTTAGGGTTTAAGGTTGAAGGTTTCGAGTTTAATTAGGGCAAATTAAAGGCTTAAGGCTGGTAACTTTGGGTTTGGGTGTTTAGGGTTTAAGGTTGAAGGTTTCGGGTTTAGGGTTAATTAAGGCATAATAAGGCTTGGGGGTTTGGGGTACCGTGCTCAAAGGGTCCAATGCGCTGATATTGATGTGGAGGATACTTTCTCAACTCATAATGGTGATTTCTACGGTAGAAACCCTACAATCGACGCTTTAGGTACTCCGGATTCCACTTAGGACCCTTTGGGTTAATAGCACCAAAACTTCTAGGATTCTAGGATCACTATAAATGAAAAAGCCTTAAGAAAAACCCTAAGTTTGCTTAAACAAGTTCTTATATTAGGGTGGCGGGCTTACCGTTTTGGGGTTTATGGGTTTAGGATTTAGACAAGGGCTTGTCGGACACCTGGGGTTTATGGGTTTAAGGCGTAGGCGCTTACGGGGGATTCGGGCTTGAGGGGGTCTCCATTGTAGTTCCTTGTTTGGCTTAACCAATTATATATGTAAGGTAACCCCAAAAGGAACTACAATGGAGACTATAGCTATGGGCTATGGACTTGCGTTTTTAGGGTGTTTATGAGGAGGAGTTTCAACTGCTCAAAACCCAAGAATATTTAGCACGGTGCATTCTGGACACGTCTCACATCGTCCCTATCAAGCTTTCCACGCACCCTAAAGCTCTAAGGGTTCAAAAAGGTTACAGGGATGCTTAGGGTTTAGGGTTCAGGTTCAGGTAGGGTTTATGGATGTCTATACGGTTTAGGCTTCGGCTTGCGGGTTAATACCAAGTACCAGAAGCTTGGAACTATTGAACACTCGGACTCTGAGAATGGGCAGGTGCTGCCTGGTTCGCATCAACTGAGGAAGCCTGGGTCCGCATTTTTTTCACCGCATCCATCAGGTGACCTAAGGTCTCGATGAACTCGTGCCAGCCTGTGACCGGCGAGGGAACTCGCATTCACGACATGCTGCATGTTCAGAGTTTGGGATATCTGCGGGAGGGAAAGCCGCAGAGGAAACATACTAAACGGTGGGCACACGACTGTCATACACGAAGACGTGAGCAATCTTGCAGCTACTGGAGATGCAGCCTGCCATAGCCATGCCTCTTTGGCCACTTCTGCTTCCCTGCATGTAGAGAGACCTTGCAAACATGCGAGGTCTGCTACGCCGCTACGCCTTGTTTCAGCGCAGCAAAAAAAGAAACTCGATGCGATGGGCTCGTCGGATGCGAACCATCTGACGCAGCCACGCTTATGTTAGAAACAAAAAGCACCAAGGGCCTCGCTGCAAGCGACGCAGAACAAATTATAAAAAGCTCAGTGCCGCGATTGCAAAGACTGGGACAAGAGAGACTCCACACCATGCTGCTTTGTAGCGTTTATGGTTCAACTTCCAAGACTATATGCATACGTTGGCCGGAATCATATACGGACCTTACTACGTAGTAGGAACCTACCCAAGGCACGCAGCAACCGTAGTCGCGTCGTCGTGGTGGTGGTGGTGGTGGTGGTGGTTGTCGTCGTCGTCGTCGTCGTAGTAGTAGTAGTAGTAGCAGCAGGAGTAGAAGTAGTAGTAGTAGTAGTAGTAGTAGCAGCAGTAGCAGTAGCAGTAGCAGTAGCAGTAGCAGTAGCAGTAGC